ATTTCTGGTTGGGAGTTCATTGTGAATCTGGCTGTGATCGTCGTCCTGACTGCGACGTTAAATAATTCCTGACGAGATGGGGGCGCTCTACAAATTCCTCCTGATCAGCCAGATCACATGGACAGGAAGGCTCGTCGCCGTACGAGGGTAAATAAGAGTGGTTGGGCTGGCTTGCTCGGTGACAAATTGGGCACAGGGGTGGGCCGAAATACACACGAAGACACTGCCTGCTCAATGATGCTGTTCGGTATGTTGGATTGAGGGGAGGGGAGGTTCTAATTGGTGCTCAACTGGAAACACAACCATACCCACTAATCATACATCTGCAACATAGTCTAGTTCTATTATTGATTAGTTGGTTGACAGCTGCTAACACCTCACAGACAGATTAGCGTAGGACTGCTGTATACTACCATAGCCAGTTCTATCTAATGCAATTGTAAGTGAACTACTCAATGATAGGATTAGATTATGTGTACAGTCTATGTGTATATTGTTTGACGACCGCTTGACTGTGGTGAAGATACCTGCCGGACACATTTATATTTAGAAAATTTGGTGCCGGTTAGACACATGCTGTGGTAGGACTCCATTAGGGGGTTGCAGTGCAGATAATGTTTGCCTAGCTGTTGAGTGGGTCAGACAGCGATGAGGGTAGAGTTGACGATGAGAGACTCACGGTCGGAACTAAAGAAGAGTTCCGTTCGTGTTCTAGATTCTAGGTACGGAAGTCAAGCGACGGCTTAGGGCCGGAGAAAGAGCTCGTGCACGAGCAGCAGTCGAGAGAGCAGCAAGGGAAGTTGCACAGCTGGCAGCAGCAGCTAACGTAGCACCTAGACAGGCCGCCGCAGCTGCAATGGCTACCGCAGCAGCATCCAATGCTGCCCTCTCATCTGAAACCTCGTCTGGGACACAGTTGGGAATGCTCACCTGATCCCCGGGCATCACTAGTACCATAGTCTCTATTATCTCCACCAGTCAAATGGCGGGCTTGCAGTTACGCCCGTTGACCCCACGCCAGCAGGAGTTGAGGGAACTCCAACAAGTCGAAAGGATCCATGCACGGCTAGAGAGGGAACTTCAGGAAGCCACAGAGAGAAAGAGAGTTAGGATAGTCAGGTTGGAGAGAGTAGAGGCCGAGAAAACTGCGTTAGAGGCAACGGATGAGGCAGCGTTGTTTGACCCAATGAAGGTGTTGAAGTCTAACTTGCTTTCACTACATGCACGCGTAGTCAGCAAAGTGGACTTCATGCAAGACACCTTGGATTAGAAATTGACTCAGCTGCAGCAGCTAAAGCTCTAGGCTGCACGCAGTCTATAAATCGCCACTTCCTAAGATGGCAGTTCTAGGCATCTATCCCCAAGCTGGCACACAACCAAGCGGTTCGTCAGCAGCACCAGCACAGACTGTAGCCTCTTCTTCTTCTAGTCAGGCGGTGACAGCCACGGTTGTCACGCGGGGATCCCCGGGGCCCAAGCCGGGGTAGGGGTTTC